AGGGAGAAATTACTAGGTATGCTCACCACGCGCTTTATGGTATTTATATTCATTTTTTTATTCTTTGATTATTTAAAACAGCTGCCAATGCCAGTTCAGTTTTATTATTAATGTAATTCAAGTTTCAAAGGTTTCTGTGTTACACCAGAAGGCTTTGCTTAACATTGAGCTGCGGAAAGTAGGTAAGATTTTATATTAGATGTCAAAGTTTGACAAGCAAGGAGGCCTAATGTTTATAGTTACAGACCATTTTTAAAATTTTCAAGGACATTTTGCTGTTTATTGCCTTATCAACTCTTCTATTGTTCAGGGCCCAGCACATATACAAAAAAAAGAAAATAAAAAGTTTATGCATGTACTACCCTATTCTTACTTTTTTCTTAGGTGCGTCTAAATGCCAAATACAAAAATGTAATATATTGTCGTTTATCAGTCTTTAGATATGGTGGCTGCATTTGTTATTGTTTTTCAGGCAAACATTTTCAGGAAGTGCAAAAAATACTTGTTTGAGTTTTCCAGAAATGTAGTGACCGTAAAAGAAAGTACAAAGTAACTAGTAATAAAGCTAATGGAGGCCTGGGCTTCCTAGATTCAAGAAACTCCATCATTATTCAACAGGACTCTAGACTGGACACATCTGAAATCTCAAAAGCTATGTATGGATATTTCAGGAAATTCTTGCAGGGCACAAAAAAGATCCTTTGGATACACAAGACATGTAGGAATCATAACTCCATTATTGCCCCTATAACTACCATACACTTAGAACTTGGTATGGACGTGCCATAATTGGGAAAACAATTCCTCCATCATGCCACTATTAGTCAAGCCTATATACCTTCTGGCTCTGGATGAGAATATTTTTTTAGCTGTGAGCCAGAGAGGGCCTGCTGCATCTTTGTCATGTTGCCAGATGTGGCAAAGCACTTGATTTTTCAGAAATGAATAGATGAGGGCATACGCCCCTAGACTTTAAGAGATGATTTCACCTTCGTAACTTTATCAAGTGCCTTTCAAAACTATGGCAACACTTGGACTCCCTTATTCCAATGTAAAAAGTATGCTTGCCTTGCCTATAGGTCCTTCTCGTGGCATCTTGCTGCTGTACACACTGCCCCTGGTAGCAGCCCATTCAAACTCTCTGGCCTACCTAGGAGCAGGAGCTGTCTTGCATCACTTGACAAACACTGATCCAAAATCCTAAGTTCAACTCGTACTTTCTGTCTCAACACCAATATATCAGAGAGCAACCCTATACTCATAGCTCACTGGTACAGAGACCAAGTGGGCTTAAGTAGGTAAGACGATCTGGTTTCTCGAATATCCTGGAGATTTGGACTGGCACCTGGTACCCTTTCCCACATTGGTGGCAGTGTCCACTTACTGAATCCTAAGAATTCTAATAAAAATTACTAACGTGACCTTTTCACGGGACCCTCAGGTCAGCCGATTCCACAAAACAAAGTCGTCTGTCCCTACATATAAGAATTTATTGATGCCACTCTTCCTGAATGTGAGCTTAAGCCTGGTCCCCAAATATTGAAAATCACTCAGACCACTATCAGTAGGAGAGTTGAGTTGACAAGATACCTTTTGATGGAAGAGATTATTACTATTTAGAAACGGGTTGACTGTACTGCATATTACAAAACATGAGGGAGCTGGCTACTTTTTAAAAACTCCACTATGGACAATCCTAGACCTTTATTTTACAGTAGTGATCACATTTTATGTCAGTCACTGTAGATGTGAGAAGACCTAGTGAATACGGATCATAAAAACAGGTGATGTCCTTTAAAACATTGTGTGTCCCCAACGTCCTCCTACCTCATTATTCTACTTTACAAATATGAATGGATCCAGATTTAAAGAATACCTGTGAAAGCATTTAGCATATTGTTTATTATAGGTACTTGTATAGTGCCGTCAATTTCACGCTGCGCTTTACATATAATATAGCACATTCACATCACTCCCCCCCCCCCCCCCCCCCCCCCCCCCCCCCCCCCCTCGAGCTTACAATCTAAGGGCCCTAACTTACATTCACACATACTAGGGCTAGTTTAGACAAATGCCAATTACCCTACTGGCATGTATTTGGAGTGTAGGAGGAAACCCACGCAGGCACAGGGAGAAAATGCTAACTCCAGACAGGTAGTTCCGTCGCTGGGACTCGAACAGACAACCCTTGTGCTAACCACTAAGCCACTGTGCTGCCCCAACTGTAACTTGCTGTAACTCTATATGCATGTTTTTTTTTAATGTGTGCTGCCTATTTTATGGATAAAACACAAATCAAACTTTATTAAAAAAATGTGTACAGAACCATATCTTTATTGTGTACGCTACTAGTCCCATCACCCACTATGTAATAGTGGTGAACAAAGGCAGACCTGTTTGAAGTCCAGCTTGTATGATAGCGTTCGCTGCCCCCCTATAGATAAAATGTAGACATAAAGGGACAGGAAGTGTGATATTTACTGGAATACCATTTGAAAAAATATCCAGAAAATAGAAAACTAATGCAGGCACCACATCTAAGGACTGGTAAGCTGCAATATATGACATTTTGGTTTTCGAGTTTACAGTGCCTTGAAAAAGTATTCATATCCCTTGAAATTTTCCACATTTTGTCATGTTACAACCAAAAATGTAAATTTTTTTTTTCGGGATTTTATGTGATAGACCAACACAAAGTGGCTTTTTTTTTTTGTTTTTTTTTTTGAAAATATGTGAAAAGTGTGGTGTGCATTTGTATTCAGCCACCTTTACTCTGATACCCCTAATTAAAATCCAGTGGAACCAATTGCCTTCAGAAGTCACCTAATTAGTAAACAGTCCACCTGTGTGTAATTTAATCTCAATATAAATACAGTTGTTCTGTGAAGCCCTCAGAGGTTTGTTAGAGAACATTAGTGAACAAACAGCATTATTAAGGCCAAGTAACACACCAGACAGGTCAGGGATAAAATTGTGGAGAATTTTAAAGCAGGGCTAGGTTTTAAAAAAAAAAAAAATACCAAGCTTTGAGCATCTCATGGAGTACTGTTCAATGGCACAACTGCAAACCTACCAAGACATGGCCGTCCACCTAAACTGACAGGTCTAGGCAAAGAGCATTAATCAGAGAAGCAGCCAAGAGGACCATGGTAACTCTGGAGGAGCTGCAGAGATTCACAGCTTAGATGTGAGAATTTGTCCACAGGACAACTATTAGTCGTGCACTCCACAAATCTGGCCTTTATGGAAGAGTGGCAAGAAGAAAGCCATTGTTGGAAGAGAAGCCATAAGAAGTCCCGTTTGCGGTTTGCGAGAAACCATGTGGGGGGCACAGCAAACATGTGGAAGAAGGTGCTCTGGTCAGATGAGACCAAAATTGAACTTATTGGCCTTAATGCAAATGCTATGTGTGGCAGAAAAGGAACACTGCACATCCCCCTGAATACACCATGCCCACTGTGAAACATGGTGGTGGCAGCATCATGTTGTACAAATGCTTTTCTTCAGCAGGGACAGGGAAACTGGTCAGAGTTGATGAGAAGATGGATGGAGCCAAATACAGGACAATCTTAGAAGAAAACCTGTTGGAGTCTGCAAAAGACTTGAGACACACTTCCAGCAGGACAACAACACAAAACATACATCCAGAGCTACAATGGAATGGTTTAGATCAAAGCATATTCATGTGTTAGAATGGTCCTGTCACAGTCCAGACCTAAATCCAATTGAGAATCTGTGGCAAGACTTGAAAATTGCTGTTCACAGACGCTGTCCATTCAATCTGACAGAGCATGAGCTATTCTGCAAAGAAAATGGGCAAAAATTTCACTCTATAGATGTGCAAAGCTTGTAGAGACATCCCCAAAGAGACTTGCAGCTGTAATTACAGCGAAAGGGGGTCCTAGAAAGTATGAACTCAGGGGGGCTGAATACAAATTATATTTATTTGTAAAACATTTTTTTGTAAACCATTTATCATTTTCCTTCCACTTCACAATTATGTTGCACTTTGTGTTGGTCTATCACATACTGTAAAAGCTAAATAAAATACATTTACGTATTTGGTTGTAACATGACAAAATGTGGAAAATTTCAAGGGGTATGAATACCTTTTCAAGGCACTGTAGATATGCTTAAAGGATATGTGTACATTCTGTATTTATTTTCAATTTTTACTTGTCTTTGCAACCTGCCTAAAAAGCAGGTTACATAAGCGCCTTTTATTTATTTTTTTTTCTTTCTATTTCTTTTTTCATTAAAAAATAAAAACTGATTGAATGGAGGTTGCCCAGTGCATGCATGGGCCTGACTGTTTAAGATTTTGTTTTTTACTCTGAAGCTTTGTGGGCAATATCTTGCTGACTTGGGGACAGGCGAGTATTATAAAACTTGCAAGGACAGCTTGGGGCAGGGGACGCTTTAATGTGTATGTGCACCTTTTGGTGTATTTCGCTTTAAGCGCACTGAGAGCATGTTGCACAACGCAACATTCAGGAAAAGGACCCATTAACATCACGTGTGAGGAGTATTCTCGACTCTTATCTGAAGTACATTTTGTTGCATTTATTACTTGTCTGTTAACCTGGAAAAGGTATTTTGACTATAGGCGAAGAGTGCTGAAAATCCTATTGAGAGCTGGACACCTCCCCCCAAAAAATATTGGCTTTACCCCAATTAAATACCTTATACACATCTGTTTACTGATTACTGTGCTTCGCTGTTCAAGCCCACTTTACTTTCAATAACATTGCTAAGCTCTTTCAATCCACAAAGAGCAGTAAAATTGCCCAGAGAAGGATTTTTTTTCGATAGATAAAAACCATATTGATGATGATACAATAAATACATAAAATTTTCTTCTTTTTTGGATATTGGCGTGGCCTTCCAAACAACCACTTAAGCTCTGGAGGCAGCAGAGCCAACGTTTAGCTCCTTGGATGGCATATTGCTTGCAGATCTGTGCACGTTGTCTGACAACAGTTGAAATATTTTGTCTCTGCAGAAGGAGAATACATAAAAATGTTTATGCGAGGTCGACCAATCACAATGTTCATTCCTTCGGATGTGGAGAGCTATGAAGACATAAGAACAGAACTGTCACCAGAGAAGTTAAAAAAACTGGAGTGGGTGTATCCTTAATTGTCCTATATCTGGTCCTCATAGCTAGCATGTCAGTTGTTGGAAAAAGGACCATAAACTGTATATAATGCTGGATTATTTTATTGCATTCATTAGAACCTTGCCAGGATTTTATTGCTGGCTGTCTGCCCTGGTTGCCGTATTCAAATGAACAGAAAATAATTTAAAAAATCCAAAATTTTGCAGTTGTCCAGAACAAGAAGTTAAATCTTCCTGTGGGGACGCCTATTGAATTGATAGCTGTCTAGAAGAGAAATTAACTTTGGATAGGTTTCTTAATATGTCCTGTTACAGGACGTGAAATGAAGGGGAAAAAATTTGGTTAAATATACATGATTTGATTATGATATGGTAGTTTCTGTGCCAAAGCTTTGGCTGGTAAACTATAATCGGTAAAGAGTGTACGTAAAGCCTAAACTTTTTTTTTTTGGGGGGGGGGGGTTAAAGTAGGAAAAATCTAAACCCTGGTCATTTTTTTTTTTTACCATTCTTTTTCTGTCTTAGTCCAAATTGGGGAAATTTCTCTTCACCTCCTGTCCTACACCACCAACAGAAATAAAAGAAAATGTCTCTAAAGGGAGAAGAAATCCTGTCCAAGGCCCCTTTCAAACAATCAGTCCAATCGGGTCTGCCTGTCAGTTTTTCAGACCCTCCATTCGCCTCTATGGCGCGGCGGGTGTAAACAACTTCTGTCTGTTTACACCTGCCTACCTCTACTCTGATCTGCTAAACAGAAATGGAAGGGTATCCCCCCCCCCCCCCCCCCCCCCCCCCCCCCCCCCCCCCCCATCAGGTGGATTGGATCGGAGGACAGTCGGGTGTACAAGGAAAGTTTGGTCCATTTACACCCGACCGCCCATAAAGCAGAAGGGGGACTGTGTCTGTGTTTGCTCTGCATAAACAGTCATCCTTCCGCTCTGCCCTGCTCACTGGGGGATCAGTGAACAGATCCCCCACTGAACAAAGCGGAGTCCACCCTGTGGAAAAGGGGCCCTATATTGGTGTTACCAGAACATGTGTCCCCATTGGAAGATTTTTCAGTCGCCCCTCTACCGCCTTTTGTACCTGAGATGATGGTGAATCTCTGCAGTGGGAAATCGGACAACAATAAATTTGTATTCATTTATATTGTCTCTTGAAACTGAAGGAAGTTCTGCTATGTCAGCTGTTTCCATAGTACAGTTGACAAACTGGAGAAACCGCTAGTCCTAAAGCAGGGTATAAGACTTCTGCAAATTCAGGTGAGATGGTTAGAAGACCAGTTTCAAAAGACATAAGAGGTTAGCATCAAAATGTGGTGTGAGAAGAGCCTACAAGGTACATATTTGTAAAGATGATGCAGCATTTTGTAAATATTAAAAAAAAAAAAAAAAAAATTCCCTTCAGCAAACAGATTTGATGTTTAGACGTCTGTGAAAGAAAAAATGACTTTCCTTCATCCATATGTAATATTGCTTCTGTTACTTTCTGTAAAGCTTGTGGCATGTTGACCTTAACAGAAGGTTGTGAAGATATGGTTACCGTGGGAGAGACTGTCGAGCCAATGTTTACCTTCTCCCTACCGGAGAAATTGTATATTTCATAGCATCTGTTGTAGTTCTGTTCAATTACGACGAGAGGACTCAGCGCCATTATCTTGGTCACACAGATTGTGTTAAATGGTAAAACAACTATACACATACAACTCAATTGAACTTATGGGTTGTCTGTTCTAAGTGGTACAGTACTTTTATTTATATTTTTCTGTAGCATTGCTGTTCATCCAGACAAAATCAGAATAGCAACTGGACAGATAGCTGGTGTGGACAAAGATGGAAGAGTAAGTAACTGTGCATTTTTTTCTTTTCTAGGTCTGAGTTGTGGCACTAATATTTTATTTAATATTTTATTTAAAAGTATCCCTTCCATACTATTACATTCCAACATGATCATAATGACTGCATACAAAGTATATTACTTTAAATTCATTGTTAAATTTTCGTAGCGTGATATCATTTAAACAGTACAAAACTATTAAATGGTTGTCTTACAGTTTTTACACTTTTCTTAACTTTGGGACCGAATGTTTTTTGAGACTGTCGTGCACACTCAGTAGTTGGATGATAGTATGAGAGGAGAAAAGCAACTCCAGGTGACCTCTGACATTCATATTAATGAATCGGGCTAAGATATAATAATCGTATCTAAACAAAGGAGAGTATCTTTCACTATTAAAAACACAATGTTAACCTGTAATCTGCCCATTCAGAGCAAAGCACTAGGTTGGATTGAACCTCTCCATCCTCAGCAACTAATACTCTCCTTCACTCCACCTTCCACTCTGTTCAAAGCTGGGAGCCAAAGGAAATATCTGGTACATCCAGATATGCAGGGGCATGTGACTCGCCGCAGGTGACAGCAATGGGACAGTCAGTGGTGTCTCATTGGGAGGCCATAACCCATAGTGCTTTCATACCTGCAAATTATGCAGAGTTGGACAACAAAATGGAAGCACTACAGGATTTGCAGTTGTGAAGGTCACGTCATGTTTCACATTGAAAGCAGAAGTGATGTAACATTATTTTGCTTTCGCTGTGTGATAAGACACTTAGCCAACAGGTGGGAAGCCTCACTTTTGTCATTCACTGCATGTGCGCTGCTAGTACTATGGAGTGATGTCAGAACTTACTGAGCTTCAAAGAGGGCAAATTCTTGGTGCCTGCTTAGCTGGTGCCTCTGTAACTGAAATTGCCAATTTATTTGCTGTGTCTCGAGATACAGTATCAAAGGTTATGACGGCATATACAGTTTTTCGGGAAAATGTCTGATAAGCACAGTCAACTGACTGATAGAGACAAAAGGACATTGAGCAGGATTGTGACCTGGAATAAGAAAACTTCTGCAAAAGTGACTGCAGAGCTCAGTCTCAGTCTTCCAAAGCCACAAAAACTGTGTGGAGAGAACTCCAAGAGCAAAACTTTCATGGGTGAGCTGTAATTGCCAAACTACTGGTGACTGACATTGATACTCAGAAGAGGATAGAATGATGCAACACCCATAAATTGTGGACTATCGATCAATGAAAGACTGTAATATGGTCCGATGTATCGAGCTTCACACTGTTCCCAACCACTGGACATGTTTACATGTAGCAAACACCTTCCCAAGCTTATGACCAGGACTTGTGCCAACGGTAAAGCATGTTGGTGGCACAATCATGGTTTGGGCAGCCATATCTTGATTTTCTGCAGGCTCCATCACCTTGAAAGATAGTCACTGTCTGCGACTATGTACAAATGTTGGTTGACCATGTGCACCCCATGGTGCAGACATTGTTTCTCGAAGACAACGCCATTTACCAAGACGATAATGCTCCGATTCACACAGCTGGTGTTGTTAAATCGTGGTTTGATGAGCATGCAAATTAATTTTCACACCTTCCCTGCTCACTGCAGTACCGAACCTCAATATCCTAGAGCTACCATGATCAATTTTGTAGAACAGGGTTCAGGCTCGTTTTCTGCCTCCTGGCATCTCTGCAAGGACTGTACAATTTTTTACTTGAAGAGTGGTATCAGATTCCATTATCCATCATTCAAGGCTTATATTTGTCAATTCCCAGGAGAATTCAGGCCATCTTGGATGTGGCGGTCCAACACCATATTATGTAACGATCTTGTTCTTTTACCTGGTGTTTCCATAATTTTGTCCAACCCATGTGTCTTGCCCTGGGCTTGAGGAGTGATAGCAAGGTTAGTATCTGCTGTTGGGGAGCTCTGTGCTAAGGTGAATCTGTTGCCTTGCCCTAAATGAGCAAACTACAGATTCACTTTAATGCTTCTATTTAGATAAGCCCACACCACAATTGTCACCACAAGCCTCATTAAAAAGGCAGCATAAGCAATAATTTGTATGTGTTTTAAGCCATAGCATCAGTTTAGAGCAGTCACAATTCACGTTAATTAGTTATGCATTGCTGCACCTTGCTTGTTTATAAAAAAAAAATGACAAAATGTTTCACTATAGCTGTCTACTGTTAATTCCTCTTCATTTATTATATCCATGTTAATGTTTTTTGCAGCCTTTACAACCACATGTGAGAGTCTGGGACTCTGTCAGTTTGTCTACATTGCAAGTTATTGGTCTTGGGACCTTTGAGCGGGGTGTTGGATGTCTGGATTTCTCCAAAGCGGTAAAATATTGCATATGTAGAGAACGAAAACCATGGAAGTGTTATTAGTTACTGCAGGTTTTTAGTGTAGATTTTTTAAAATGGCAGGTTTTTTTTGTTTGTTTTTTTTTAATCCATCTCAGGTCACCAAAATACAATATTTGAGGGCTGTTGTTGAATCAATAGCAATTTGATTTGGTCAGATTTCCACCAGCATAATTTTTTTAAAATGTTAAAGTAATTTATTAAAGTGCATATTTTGCATTAGACATCATTCATACAGGGCAAATGGATCTTTTCCCTGTGTGAGGGCCGTGTATACCCACACAGGGGTGCACAAGTGTTCTGTGCATCCTTGTGCAGGCAGTCCCACAGCTGTCAGTTGGAACGCAGTGGCTGCACAAACATAGCCGCTGTTCCCAATTAACATCTGTACGGATACACGGCACAAAACCCACAGATGTCAATGGCTGTCCGTACCGCCAGTGCATCCAAATTGGCAGCTATGGGGCTGCCTACCCAGTGGTGCACAGAACACCTGTGTTATACATGGTCCTCACACAGGACATGGTTGCATACGTCCCGTGTGAACGAGGCCTTATGTATTTGCTAGATAGGGTCCTTGTTTCGAAATGATTGCTATCTAAACTATTGTAAAGTTTGATGTTTGGCTAGCGTTAGAGCTGTGCTGGCCCAAGGCGATATCAGAAAAGTCTTACCTGTAGATTGGCCTGTGCTGGCAGACATCTCACTAAGTGCATTGCAGGTCTCCTCATTCTATAGGGTACAAATGGGGTTAAAATAGACCCCATGTGGCAATTTTCATTATTTTTCAGTGGAAAAAAATTGTTAAAAATAAATGAAATTGTGTTTCTGGCATGCAGTCCTGGGGTATATTGAGAACCTCCTCAATATTTCATTTTCATGGGTTTTCAGTTTTGCATAGATTTCAAAGTGAAATTCAGTTTCTTGAAACTTTTCCCCCAAAACCCATTCTCCATTTTACTGACTTTCTACGATTTCTGCTGTCTGGAGGCCATTTTACTCGTCATTTTTGAGCCATTCAATTGATTTGTAATTTTACCCCTATCCCTTTTTTACAAAATTGACCACCTAATATAATATATAATATAAATCCATCCTGCACAGATTAAGTCAATCTAGCTGAATGTAATTTCCAGTACCGTATCTAAAGAGGAGCCCTCACCGGATCTGCCCCCGTCTGTCTTTAGTGATCATGTCCACAGAGATAAAGTGTTTATGGAAGTGGTAACAGATGGTGTTAATTTTTTTTAGGATTCTGGGTCACACTTGGCGGTCATTGACGACTCCAATGAGCATATGCTGACAGTGTGGGACTGGCAGAAGAAGTCAAAAGTGGCAGAGATTAAGGTAATGACCAATGCTAAGAAGATTAAATGCAGTCCTAAAACTTTAGCTTCTATTCATTTAGCATGGAAAACTAGATGCTTGGAAGGTTGTTCTGACCCAAACAAGCACCTTCTGAATTGTGATTTAGGTTACTAAGCCAAATGGCTCAGTACACATGCAAGCAAAGGGGAGGGGGTATGGCTGTCTGAAGGTTGTCTGCATTGGTTGGACATCTATTTAAGACAAGTGCAATATTGGCATGTTTCGATTGACTTTTGTGACGCTGGGTGTCCTTCATCCTGGAAGACCGGATACATCAGCTGGTGGCATAGAATTACTGTGGACAGTGCTGATGAGTAAGAGATTATTGCAGAACAAGCTGTTTTTTTTTAAACCACTTGACCTACAGAAAGTTTTACCCCCTTCATGTCCAAGGCATTTTTTTTGCCTCTCAGCACTGCGCACCTTTAACTGGCAATTGGGTGGTCATGCACCATTTTACCCAAATTATGTTTGTATCATCTTTCCACACAAATAGCTTTCTTTTGGTGGTATTGTATTGCCGCTGGGTGTTTTATTTTTTTTGAGCTATAAACAAAGAGCAAAAAATGTGGAAAAAATTTTTTTTACTTTGTTTCTATAATAAAAGTTTGCAACCAGGTAATTTTTCTCCTTCACTGATGTGCATTGATGAGGCTGCACTGATAGACAGCACTGATGGGTACTAATAGGTGACACTGATAGGCGGCCCTGATAGGTGGCACTGACTGGCGGCACTGCTGGGCACTGACTGGCAGCACTGCGGGGGGGGGGGGAAACTTGTGGGTGGCACTGCTGGGCACTGATCATCAAAGTACTGATCATCAGTGCCCTGATGATCATTGCCGATTTATTTTCTGCCAATTGCCTGTGGCTGTGACAGCGTGAGGAAAGTGTAGCCGATAAGCGGCAACTTCATTTACCCGGTAATCTGCTGTGTCATTAGACACAGCTGATCACGTGGTGAAAGGCTGCTGTGATTGGCCTTTTACCACATCACATGATCAGCTGTGTCCGTAGGACACAGCGTTCATGGAGATCGCCGGGTGCGTGCCCCTGGGAGCACATTCAGGGAGTATGTCATATGACACTCTCCCAGAACTGGACAACCGTTCTGTAGACGTCATTTGGCTGTAACACGGTTGGCAAGTAGTTAATCACCACTGGGTGTTTATTTTTTTTATTAAATAAACAAAAAAAAATGATAAACCCCTCCAACCCTCACTCCCGATTATTTTCTCCTTTGTTATAAAATATAACCAACTTAAAAAAAAAAAATCTAATTTCTTCATAAATTTAGGGCAGAATGTATTCTGCTACATGTCTTTGGTAAAAAAAAAAAATGTGTATATTAATTGGTTTGTGTGAAAGTTAGTATTTACAAACTATGGTGTATAATGGAATTTATGCAGCTATGACGCTAAACTAGTAATGGCGGTGATCAATGACTTATAGCGGGACTGTGATAGTCTGGTGGGAAATCTGGCAATAACAGACCCTTGCTGGGAGGTGTACTAACTGACACTGACATCACTGGTGACACTAAAAAGTGATCAGATGTAATACTGTACACTATTCCTATACTGACACTGGCCAGGGCATCAAAGGGCATTCAAAGGGTTAACTTTGTGCCTAACAAGTAATTGTGTAATAGGTGCTGTTTTTATGGACAAATCTGGCAGTTTCTTCCCCCTGCTTTTCAGCAGAGAGAAAAAAACAGCCAGATCGCAGTCTTTGTACAGAGCTTCATGTGTTTGTAAATACAGGACTCTGTTCTGTGATTATCCACTGCCGATCAGCTGTTCTACAACCAAAATCATTGGTGGTAATTGGCTGACTGACTTGTGCTGTAACCAGTCTCAGCACAGATCAGCAGGAGGCATGTGCACACCCCAAACCTGGAAACAGGCTCACAACATACATGGTGCTGCCTGCACTTGCCACACGCTCGCAGTACATTTACTGTTAGCAGGTCAGCAAGTGATTAAACCCTGTTGAGGGACTATAATAAAAAAGTAAAATGTTTTTATTTCCCAGAATTGAGCATTAAAGAGCAACTCCACTTTTGCTGGGAAAAAAACAATCCCTCTGGGTGATCAGTGTACATTGCAAGGTTTTTAAATATTTACTTTGTTTCAGATACCTTCCTGTTTCTGCTGAAGAAATAACTGTTTGACACTGTCTTTTGCATACGAATTCTGAATAGGAGTTTCCTGATTTCAGTATCTGCATCCCTTTAGAAGTAACCCTTAGGGATGATCTCATCAAAATGAAATGCTTGTTGAAGAGGATGCCTATTATTTGACTTGTATTGTAGTGCAGACTTCTGGGAAAATCAGTGAGCCAATCAAATAAGCAGCAAATGACATTTTTGGAGGCGTTCTGTACACCAACAATATACAGGTTGCCATATTGCATTGAATTTTACAGAAAATTACGGCACTGCCAATTGCAATGGGAGGGTACATTTTAATAACATTAAATGACAATGCAGTCTGTGTACAAATTGTATATGCTATATTCGTTTTTCATATCAGTACTTCTGGGGGCACATGCTAAATATAAGAATAGATGACAAGACTAAAGAGTCTATTCTTTGCATCCTTTAAATCTACTTGATTACAGCATGTTCAGTATGTATTATAAACTATTCCTTACGATGTATTTGTAGACTACGAATGAGGTGGTCTTGGCAGTTGAGTTCCACCCAACTGACCCCAGTACGATAGTGACCTGCGGCAAGTCGCACATCTTTTTCTGGACCTGGAATGGCAATTCTTTGGCGAGGAAACAGGGAATCTTTGGGGTAAGTAGATTGTCAGTTTACTTGTTAAAGTAATATTACTTGTTAACTTTTTCTGTCACATGTTTAATAAACTTTATTATGTAGCTCCTTTAACCACTTGCCCTCCAGAGGATTTACTCCCCTTCCTGACCAGGCCATTTTTTGAGATACGGCTCTGTGTTACTTTGACAATTGCAATCATGCAACACTGCGCCCAAATTAAATTTATGTCCTTTTTTTCCCACAAATAGAGATTTCTTTCGGTGGTATTTGCGCACCTCTGCGTTTATTTTTTTGCGCTATAAACAAAAAAGACTGACAATTTGGAAAAAAAAAAAAAAATTTGACTTTTTGCTATTAAACATGTCCAGGAAAAAAATTAAAAATCAAATTTCGTCATAAATTTGGGCCAAATTGTATTCTGCTACATGCCTTTGCTAAAAAAAAAAAATTCCCAATACATGTAAATTAATTGGTTTATGGGAAAGTTATAGCGTTTACAAATGGTGGTATATATACTGGATTTTTTTTCTATATTACTAGTAATAGCAGCTCTCAGCGACTTATAGCGGGACTGCGGCGGGCATTCTGACATTGGGGGACACTGACTTGGTGTCACTAACATCCCTAGTGACACCAATACAGTGATCAGTGCTAATAAAAAGCACCGACACTGTACTAATGGCACTGGGCAGGAAGGGGTTAACATCTGTTTCTCTGTGTGTGTGCTTTACACTGTAAGCACACTGCTTTGTATGGTTCTGCTATGCAGAGCCATGCAAAGCAGTGTGCAGAAGCTGACAGGGGAGAGATCTGTGTTTATACACAGGTCTCGCCCAGGACGGAGGTACTCCGTGATCACCAGCTGCCAGTGGGGAATCACCGGCTGGGACCCAGGGATTGACAGCCAAGGCCGCGAATGGTGGCACGGGTAGGGTAAATCTCTGATGTTCTTGGAAAAAAGAATTTGAGTTTTTGAGCATAACACGGCAGCGGAATGTTGGACATTCTGTAGTCTGTTTAATGTGGAACTGAGTAACCCCAGCAAGTAGAGCAATAAAGTAGTCAAGCTGGGAAAACACACGTGTATTGATAAGTTTTGCAGCCACAGTGTATAATAACAAAGGGCATAGTCGAGCGATGTTTCTCAAGTGGAAAAAATATGTTCTGACAACATTCTGCATATGTAGATTAAATGATACTAACCGGTGACCAAGTGGAAACATGTAAAGGCTAAAAAGTGAGGGACCCAAAATAGAGCCCTGTGGGACACTAGACTTAAGTGGTTGTAAAGCCTTAAGGTTTTTCAACTGAATGCATTCAGGTGAAAAACCTTCTGTGCTACAGGATGCCCCCCAGCCCCTCCCCCCATTATACTTACCTGAGCCCCATCCAGTCTAGCTCTGTGCATGAGAGCAGCGATTGTCACTGCTGTCTCCCTGCTCCCTGGGCAGATTGATAGCAGCGAGAGCCATTGGCTCCAGGTGCTGCCAAGCAAATGCTGTGCCAATCCAACGGTGGCGGGGCCGATCCGCCCACTCAGTGTCAATGGATGCAGACAGGGCAGATGGGGAGCAAGCATGCACAGGTGCCCACATGGAAAGCAGCTTTTCATGGGGGCACCCTGCCGAAGAGGGGGGAGCCTGGAGCACTGGTGGGGTACACCAGAAGAGGAGAATCCAGGCTGCTCTGTGCAATACCATTGTACAGAGCAAGTTAGTTATACCATTTTTGTTATTTTAGTAAAAAAAAAAAAAAACCCTAAGGTTTAATGCTTTAACAAGACCAATTTTACACTGATTTGCTGTTGCAAAACTGCATAGTTTGTTGTAAACAAAGATTATAGACAGTACTAGCAAAATGAATTCAGGATAAATTCAGGTAAAATAAGTATTGAACACGTCACCATTTTTCTCAGTAAATATATTTCTAAAGGTGCTATTGATATGACATTTTCATGGCGGTAACAACGCATGCAATCCATACATACGAAGAAACCAAAACAAATAAGTTCAGAAATTGTTATGTGTAATAAAAATGGAATGACACAGGGAAAAAGTAATGAACATGCTAACTGAAATGTATTTATTACTTTGTACAAAATCCTTTGTTGGTAATTGCTTGAGGGAATAGGTGATGCGGTTGTAGCTGTATTAGTGCACTTGTGACAGAAACAATTGAGTACTGTCTGTGATACTTTTTTTATTTGCACTAACGTACAATTTTCAGGACGAGCATTCGGGGTATGTTCCCTTCTTCAAAGTCCAAGCAGTGCACAAGAGTACTGCTTGGACCTTGAAGAAGGGGACATACCCCAAAAGGTTGTCCTGTATGTTAGTGCTAATATAAAAAGTACCACAGACAGTACTCAATTGTTTTTGTTGGTAATAACAGTTTCAAGACGCCTCCTGTACGGCGAAACTACTCTGCTCAAAAAAGTTAACGAAACACTTTTTAATCAGAGTATAGCATCAATTCAATGAAACTCCTGGGATATTGAACTGGTCAGGTAAGTAGCAGAGGGGGTTGTTAATCAGATTCAGCTGCTTTGGTGTTAATGAAATTAACAACCAGTGCACTAGATGGGCAACAATGAGACAACCCCCAAAACGAATGGTTTTTACAAGTGGAGGCCACTGACATTTTTTTCCCTACTCCTCTTTTCTGACTGTTTTTCACTAGTTTTGCATTTTTTCCAGTTTTCCAGTCATTTTCGCTACTGGTAGCATAAGGCAATACCTGGACCCTACAGAGGTTGTACAGGCAGTCCAACTCCTCCTGCACGGCACATCAATACACGCCATTGCCATAAGGTTTGCAGTGTCTCCCAGCACAGTCTCGAGCATGGAGGAGATTCCAGGAGACAGGCAGTTACTCTAGGAGAGCTGGACAGGGCTGTAGAAGTAACCCATCAGCAGGATTGATATCTGCTTCTTTGTGCAAGGAGGAACAGGAAGAGCACTGCCAGAGCCTTACAAAATGACCTCCAGCAGCCACTGTTGTGAAGGTCTCTGACCAAACAATCAGAAAATGAGTTCAGGAGGGTAGCCTGAAAGCCAGATGTCCTCTAGTGGTCCCAGTGCGCACTGCCCGGCATCATAGATTTCGATTGGCATTTGCCATTGAACACCAGAATTACCAGGTCTGCCACGGGTGCCCTGTGCTTTTCACAGATGAGAGCAGGTTCACCCTGAGCACGTGTCAGACATGAAAGGGTCTGGAGAAGTCTTGGAGAACGTTATGCTACCTGTAACATCGTTCAACATGACCGTTTTGGTGGTGGGTCAGTGATGGTCTGGGGAGGCATATCCATGGAGGCATATCCATGGAGGGACACACAGACATCTGCATGCTAGATAATGGCACCCTGACTGCCATTGGGTATCGGGATGAAATCCTTGACCCATTGTCAGACCCTACGCAGGTGCAGTGGGTCCTGGGTTCCCTTTGGTGCACGACAATACCCGGCCTCATGTGGTGAGAGTATGCAGGCAGTTCCTGGAGGATGAAGGAATTTTAGCTCTTGAATGGCCCCAATCTCGCCTGACCTAAATCCAGTAGAGCACCTCTGGGATATCATGTTTCGGTCCATCCGACACCACCAGGTTGCACCTCAGACTGTCCAGGTTCTCAGTGATGCCCTGGTCCAGATCTGGGAGGAAATACCCCAGGACACCATCTGTCGTCTCATTTAGGAGCATGCCCTGACATTGTCAGGCATGCATACAAGCACGTGGGGCCATACAAACTACTGAGGACCATTTTGAGTTGCTGCAATGAAATTTCAGCAAAATGGACTAGCCTTGTGCATCATTTTTTTCACTTTGATTTTTGGGGTGTTTTTGAAGTCAGTCCTCTGTAGGTTGATATTTTTCATTTCCATCAAACAATGGGGCATCCTTACGTTCCTAACACATTACCCAGTCTGTATCAGTATATCTATCCAGCATGATATTTTTCCCCATTGAGATCTGATGTGTTTTCACATTTTTTTTGAGCAGTGTAGTATGCATGCATGCATTGCTCAGGTGTGATATTGGCCCATTCTTCCACACAGTCTTGGATGTTGCTGCTTGGCCATGGAAACCCATTCCATGGAGCTCTCTATGCACTGTTGTGCTAATCTGAAAGCCTCACGAATCTTGGAGGTCTATGGAGGTCTTGACTCTGCAGACAATTGGCGACTTCTGCCTACTATGCGCTGACCCCGCTCTGTCATTTTACGTGGCCTACCACTTTGTGGCTACATTGCTGCTGTTTCCAGTTGCTTCCACTTTGTTATAATACCTCTAACTGTTGGCCGTGGAATATTTAGTAGCCAGGAAATGTCACGAATGGACTTATTGCACAGGTGGCAACCTATCACGGTACCACGCTTGAATTCTCTGAGCTCCTGAGAGCGACCCGTTCTTTCACAAATGTTTGTAGAAGCAGTCTGCATGCCTAGGTGCTGGATTTTATATACCTGTTGCCATAGAGGTGATTGGAACACCTGAATCCAATGATTTGTGTATTTACTGAGAAAAATGGTGACGCGTTCAATACTTATTTTACCAGCTGTATGTAATCCTGATTTATGCAGCCCTATCGCTAAAATAATAAGTTCCACATGTCCCTTGCAAGTAAATATTTGCCTCTCCCACTGCCTGCACAGCTGATTTCTGCTTTATTGAAGAGAAACTGTTACCTGCAGAATTTTCAGAATCCCACTTTTCTGGGAAGGTGAATTTTTTGGTAATGTGCTGTGCTCCGATTCTGAGTGTTTCAGTTTTAGTAAACACCCAACTCCGCCCCCACCCCCCGCTTAGTCGGTGGGAAGAACTACAGTGAGTAGGGAGACACTAGAAATCTGACCGTATCAGATCCCAAAGTTTCACTATCTAGCGGTTCCCTTGAATATACCAGAAATTGACCCAATCAGCAGAATAGGTGAGGAAACCCATGTTTTGGCATTTTTATTTTAGCAACTTGATGGCATTTGAGTGGCATTGTTCTGTATTTATCGGTCCTTTTCTATTCTGAAAAATTGTAGATTTTGTAAATGGTATACTTGCATATACTTACATCCCTCTTAGAGGGAAACTGTCAGTCATTTTATTCTCTTTGAAGCAAAAGTCCTGCCAAAAAGCAGACGTCACTAGTTGCATGTTATTTCCTTTATTATCCAGAAATGCTTCCTTTTATGTGCGCTTTTCTGATTCTGGTTTTAATTTGATACCAAGGTCTGGACTTCTCTAACTTTAAGGCTAAGCCTCACACTTCCTCTGTTCTTCAGTTCAGTGTGAGATCTTCAGTTGCCTCTACTGCTCCTATTGTAATTGCACAGAGAGAAGTGTGTAGGGCTTACTTCCAGGGGGACAGGGCTTAGAAGTTGGGTAAGCAGAGTGTATCGGAGAGGTTCACAGCAGAACCTTTTTCTTTACAATGGAAAATACATATTAGAAATAATAATTGTGTAAGGCATGCCAGAAATGGGGGAAACAGAAAATTCAGCAGGTGTCGTCATAATTGGATGAAGCTTGGGGGGCTGTAGACAACAGACACAGCTCCAATTTACCCAGATGGAAATCGGACTACCTAGCCTCTTTGGGTGTACAGTAGGTTTTTTTTTTTTTTCATTTGTCCTGATGGCAATAAACACCTGCAGATTTTGGTTGGCAGGAGTTACACTTTATTTTAGTGTCTAAAGCTTTTTTATTCAGGGGGGGGGGGGGGGTTGTTGTTTGGATGGAGTGGTGAACAGATACAGTCCCTGTCATATATTTATTTTGGTGTCTGGATCCCTGTTAGGAAGAACTATTCCGTCCCGGTGACCACTGTGTAAGTGAAAGTAAGAAAAGCATTTTTAAAGTTTAAAGTAAAGGAGTTGAGTTTTTTTTTATTTTTCATAAATAACAGGCATGGTATACTTACCAACTCTTTGTAATGGTATTGCACAGAACAGCCCCAATCCTCTCCTGGGCTCCCACACCGACACTATCCACTCCTCCTCCTGTCTGTCTGCCCTTGTAGCAAGTTGCTTGTGAGCCAAATCCCACACTGGGCTGTGTGCGTCTGTAGACACATGTAGTGTAACTGAGCCCTGCCCCCAACTCCTTGCTTCCACCTGGTCTCACATGGTCTAACTGATAGCAGCAGGACCAATTGGCTCCGCCAAGCTTCTGAGAGGACTCAGGTTAGTGTTAGGTAGCCCCCTGCATTGCTATTGGGAGCTTTTTTTACCTTAATACATCGAATTCATTAACGTAAAAAAAAAACCCTTTTGCTTTTACAACCACTTTTGCCTTCCAGTGGGGACACTTGCTCTGGTCAAGGGCATTTCCCTCAGTTTGGAAAGACTTTTTTTGTTTTTGGTTTTTACATCCTGTTGTGCCTATGGGACTGGAAGTGAAGAGAAATTTCTTCAGTGGGACACAGATGGTAAAAAAAAGCCTGACAGGGTTTTTAGCCATTCCCTAAATCTGCAATGTAAAGAAAAAACAACAGTTCTTTCTATAGATATAAATTTTTCGTAGTAAATCTGGAAACTATTTGGGGGAACAATATTCACTGTTTTCGTCTCTACATTGTGTTTCAGAAATATGAGAAACCAAAGTTTGTGCAATGCTTAGGCCTTCCTTGCCAATGGTGATGTGCTCGCTGGAGATTCAGGAGGCGTCATGTTAATATGGAGCAAAACTCCAGTGGAATCCACAGCCGGAAAAGGAGTGAAAGGTGGGTCTCTCCTCAACCAGGTGTTGGGGCTGAACTAGAAAGAGCAGGTCAGCAATAAAAGTCTGATCTGCACTTTGCTATGACTAATGCATCCTTTGCTTGTGGTCCCAACAAGACATTCTGCCATGAGGGTGGTAGTGAATATCACCATTATATCAGTCTTCCAGGATATTGAAATGTACCAGCATGCGGGTGTGGTGATATTTAAAAGGTTATCCAGAATGCTTGAAGCTTGTCTCTCCACCACTCCTAACATTTTAATTGCTTCTAAATCCCCACTTGGCGTTCAGCTAAATGTCTCAATAATTGTTCAGAGAACGCAAGCAATTATTTGAAGCCTTAATAGCAATGAGTCATTAGGTGTTTTCTCTTTTAATGTCATTAATATGCCTGGCACACGATGAACAGTGCTCATTATGCAAACACCAGGGAGAGCAATACCTGATGGAAACGAGGAGCAATATCATTTACTGTCCTAGAACATTAGACCTGCAACGTATCAGAGAAAGTTCTATGGAGGTTGAGCACTTGTGCCAGAAAGATCTTTAGTTTACACCAGTGACACAAGATAACTCATGGGGTTTTAATCCGTGGGGCTAATAAAAACCAAAGCATTTTCTACTAGAATCCTGAAACATTTCTTAAAGCAGAAATGAGCACTCGAAAGAAGTGATCCAGTAGCACATAAATATATAAGTGAAAAATGGTGAACATAAAACCTGAAAAATGAGTGTGTAGTCCAAAGAAAGTCCAACAGCTACTTCTTATCCACCAAAAAGATTCTTCAATCTTCAAACTAAATCACCACGTGAAGAAAAAAAAAAAATGCTGTTCCCCCTATCGGGTTTACACTCGCCAGCAAATCTTGCCCCCCACTCTCATGAAGTAGCTGTCGGACTTTCTTTGGACTACACACTCATTTTTCACGTTTTATGTTCACCATTTTTCACTTATATATTTATGCGCTACTGGATCACTTCTTTTGAGTGCTCATTTAAGTGTTTTGTTTGATATTTTTAAAGTAGCAGCATTTTGGTATTCATTCATTTATGTGTGTATTTATACATATTTGATTTATTTTTCACACATTCAGCACAGTTTTTACACATTCTTTCACATTTCTTAAAGCATACCTAAAACCATAAATGTTCTTGATTGGTTTTTTTTTTTTTGGGGTTTTTTTTTTTACCAGTCCACAGATGTGATAACTGCATTTGTTTCTTTTTTTTCAAGCTTTTTTTTTTTTTTCTGTTCACCTGGTGACAATGCTCACTTACTGTACTGTATTGTTAAAAATACCCAAAATGAGTGTACAGACCATAAAACACAAAAAACCATTTGATGTACATAAAATTTAAATAGAGATGCATTCAATGTATGTTCAGTACACTGAAGTTGATCAAGACGTTTCACAGTCCTCAATGTGTTTCGTGAAACAGCATTCACTTCAAGCAATGTGAGCTCTCATGCTTATTGAATGTCTACATGGAGACCAGGTCGTTAGGAGAAAAATAAAATTATGGCTGTAATAAATCATGTAAAAATACCTTTCTGCAAACACGAATAGTATAATAAAATGGACACTGATGGAAGAATGCTGACCCAAAAACATGGAATGTGACTGGAGAGCACCACCAAGCATTATCCGTCCTGAGCGGGGACATGTGAAGGAGGCTGGACCACCTATGAGTGAGGCGTACAGCCAGGGCCGAGAGAGGACGTAGCCCAATTGGACACTGGTGTCAGAAATAGAAGGCACAAGAATAAAAAAAAAAATAGAGAACCAAAGAATAATCTATAAAACACTGTGTATAGTGGAAGATGTTGCCAAAAGCCAATGGTCCCAAAGTCCTACAGCTAGAATAGATGTGCACATGGAAACACAAAATGAAGATCCAGAAAATATACAGACCAATAGGCAGGCAAATGAAAGAGTGAAAATATGTGCATTTAAAAATAGTAATGACATTGATAAAATGAAACAAAATGCCTGGAAAATATATAGACCAATGGGCAGGTGAAAAAGGGTGAAAATAGATTGAATGAAATATAGTAAAGACATAGTGAAATAAAGATAAAGTGAAATAGTGACAGGGCTATAGATAGCTCCCCCTCTCCTCTTCTGCATAATATAAGGGGGAGGGGTTCTGTAGTTCTCAAAGAGAGCTGGAAACAATAGATACTGACAACTGTCAGCAGAGAGCAGAGGAAATTGTTGGCTGTCAAATGTTCTGGTAAGAGAAACAGGTAGTTTTTGCATGATTTAAAAAGATATAATAAAATGTTTTAAGTTGGATATTTAGCAGACCAAATTAGGCCAAAAAAGGCAAAGTTAGTTATCAGATTTTACATACTGTTCAACTACTTTGACCACAATACAAATTAAAATGCCCATTGGTATGAGAACAGTAATTAACCTTGCAGTCAAAAAACTAGGAGTGGGCAACTGTGTATGTTCCTAGTTCTCAGTAAAATTAGTCATCGTTGTTGGCTAGTGACATATGCCAATGCTAGTACGTTTGGTTTGGCTTTCTAAGTTAAAAAAAAAAAAAAAAAAAAAACTCACACAGAAGGGTTAAAGTGAACCTGCAGGGCAAAGCAAGGGATAACTTTAAGGGCAGTTTCATTTACTGTTTTTACTTACTCCAAAAGCACCAGTGCTGTCACTTGGGAGGAAGAGGAGGAGTCATACATTTTTGGACAGACCAGCCTTTATCAGTTTTTCATGCCTACCTCCTCCCACATCTTCCACTTGGACATAAAGTTTATGCATCACAGTTATGGGTTAATAGAAACATGCCGGACAAGATGGGCAAACTCTCAACTCATTCAGTGTGTGCATTTGCATGCTTTAGCACCCTACAATAGAGGAGAGTACCACATGGGGACGATGCAGGGTAAGGGTACTCACAGATTTGCTTTAGCTAAATATTTTATTTTAGATTTGTAGAAGGTTGAGACGTTAGCTATTATGTCAAGTTTTTATTTCTTCGTGTTATTTCCATTTCTGTATTTTCACCAGGACAATAAAGTGAGGGCAGATTTCCTTAAGGACTTTGTGTACACAGGTTATGCTGTCAGGATCTGGCTGTTGCATTCGAATGAGCTAAAACACCAATCACAGCAAAACTCTGTGTTTGGCTGGCTTTGCAAACACCTCTCGGTGGGGCATGCTGCGCTCAGAGAAACACAACGCAGAGTAGATCAACCTCCTAAGATCTGTCAACTCTACAACTTTGACGTAAATGGGAATCTGCTGACCTGCGTTTGAAATGCACATGAACTGCAGGTCAGCAGATTCCCTTTTACATCAAAGTTGTGAAGTGGTTGATAGTTCTTCGGAGGTTGATCTTCTTTTGCGTTGTGTTTCTCTAAGCACAGCATGCCCTACCGAGATGTGTTTACATTGAAGGCGAAGTCGGCCAAACAGACTTTTGATGTCAAATGCAAGAGCGAAAAAGACCTAGCCCTAAGGGGCATGGATGGCCTTAAAAATCTGAACCATTCTATTAAAAGAAAACAGTTTTGTCAGAGTAGTGCTTAAAATTTCGAAAGCTCTATAAGGGTAGAGACTGATGAATGTACAATATATACTGTATGTAAAGCGCTGCATAAATTAACAGTGCTATAGAAGTACCTGTAATAAATTAATAAACAAAAAGCAAGGCAATTTTTATAGAAAAAAACTGACAATATGTACTAGTTAAAAATGTGCCATGTTTAAAAAAAAAAAAAATTGAATAAGCATCCTATACAGAACACAGTGAACATCAAAGTAACTGCTAATTGCACTATTTACAGTAATTCCCAGACTTTATGAACAAGTTAGTGATAGTCAGTCTGGCTATACACTTCTTCAGCAACAGAACTTGGAACAAAAATTGATGAGAGCGTCCTGAGTGGCTGTTTGGATTCAGACCAGTCAATCTCATTCTAATTAGTAAGCATTAGGAGTCTGTAACCTCAGCACAATCTCCCTCTTACTGCAAGAACATTGCGTCATAGAGATTTGGCCACCAGATCTACATTTATGAAAAAGATTTCTGCTCCTGCCTTATGAATTCAATAGCTCAGGGCAGAGAGAACAAGGAACTGAGGACCATTAGTCACTTCCAAAAGAATTTTCAGAATACCAGCATTTCCTGTTTTGCAGAACAATCTATAAAATCTAAATTTTGTAAAACCCATCCGGAGGCTCGGCATTTCTCCTCAGATCTCCCAGGATTTAGGCTTCATACTTATTTAATTAAGAGATGGTAGAAAAGAAATGTGTTTCTCTGGCAAGAAAGTCATTGTTTGAATTTTCCTGAAATGAATATTTATATAGATCATTCATAGCACAAAGTATAGGTGAAAGTTGATTTTTAGTAAATGTAGTTCCATGCTCACCTGCTTTATGTGCAAGGAGGAAAGTGGCAGCCTAATTATGGGAGGTTTATCAAGGAAACAAGCAACACAATTGGTGATAAATCTGACTGCATCTCCTTCAGCAAAATCTATGCAACAGGTTTACAGACCTGTGCATCTGTATTCCAGGGCAGCCAAGTGTAACAGTTTGTAAAGTTCAAAGACCGATATCTTACTAGAGATGAGACAGATTTCCACATTAAACGGATGCTGACTTAAGAAGGGGTCAGGGTCATGTTTAACTCTGTCCACAAGTGTTCCTTTATAGCAGCCAAAGGAGGATTTTATGACTCTGGCTGTAACCTTGTACTAAATCTCTCAGGAAGTATCTCACTGCTCATGTTTTAGCATTGATTTGCCCTGTGACAGGATTGATAACTGTCCCCCAGTATTGTGCCCAGAAGTTGTATTTATTTAAAGTGGTTCTAAGGGCTTACGGTTTTTTTTACCTCCGTGCATTCTTTGTGGCTCCGGCTGCTATTTCAGCCAATGAGGAGGAAGAGTCCCCGGAGAGTTGGTGCTCTTGTGCACATTTTTGGATTGAGATGGGGCTCAGGTAAGTATTAGTGGGGGGAAGGGGGCTGCTGCACACCATGTTTTTTACCTTTTTGAAATAGAATGAATGAAGGTAAAAAACCTTGAGCCTTTACAACTACTTTAACTCCTGGAGAAAACTGTCCATTGCCCAACATTTCCCTTGAACCTTTTAATGATGTTAGGCTGTTGTTCCTATTTCCCCTGAGTGTTCCATGAATGTTGAAAATTATACTTTTAGATTTTGGAAATAAGCAAAGCATAGAGTGGCTATGGGATGCAAAGTGCATTAACAACCTAGGGGTCATTTCGGAAATACAACAAACCTGTGAGCAAAAAATGTTTTGAGTCTGCATGACTCTGGTAGTCATACACACGTTGAAGAATGTGTTGCAAGCAGCCAGATCTAAATGATTCAAACTTCACACTCCTCTGTCATTGGCTGCAATTGTTTCAGCTACTAATGGTATTCCAGCAGTGAGCATATACCCACTGGCTTCCATTGCCCTTTAATAATCTTTAGGAAAAGGTGTGCCATAAATATCCCAGTCCTACAACCTGGTTTTAATTTGATATGTAGCCATTTAGAGGTACCCTAGGTTTCTCAGACATCAGACGTGCTCTTACTACACACAGAATTTCAAGAACTCATGGTGGCTTTGCAAACCTTTACCTTCCTTCAGTAAGAGGTGTGTATGCCACGTGAATGCCACTTCACTACTTTGCGGCAAGTTTTACGTCCTGGTTCTACAGAAATTCACTCTGACCATTTTTCTAGGCAGGCATCTGGATGGCTTTCTACATCTAGTGTAGTTGGTTCCTCCATTATAATTCTGGTACTTTTATGCAAGTGCTTCGGAAATATGTCAACATAGGAATATGTCCCTGTTTTACTTAGTAACAATTATGTGTTTCAGGTGTCTACCAAATAAGTAAGCAGATCAAAGCTCATGATGGCAGCGTGTTCACACTGTGTCAGATGAGGAACGGTATGCTGCTTACTGGAGGTGGCAAAGACAGGAAGATTATTATGTGGGATCACAATCTCAACCCTGAAAGGGAGATCGAGGTAAGACCACAGGCTGCTTCATGTAATTATTTTCAGTGTAAAGGGTTAAAAAACTCAGAATAAACACAGGCTTCTATATGTAAATATTAATTTATCATATTTTCAAGTTACATTCATGATGCCTATACTATGTAACTTGAAAGAACAGTTTCTAAAAAACGGAATGCACAATACTGTTTTTTTCAGAAAACTGAAATTCAGTATAGGAAATGTAAGCTTAGATTTCCAAATTAAAGAATTATGAAGACTGCAATTGCCACTGACCTGTCCTAAAACTACCAGTTCCTTATCTGTGATACTGATTTAATCAGACCCTGTCACCTGACAAATCATTTTAACAATCTTCCTGATTGTATATGCATGTAACTTATTTTATGAATCATTTTTACCTGTAAATGCCACTCTTGTAGAGACCTCCAAAAAGCCTGATACTTCTGCTTGGTGCCACTATCTTGGGTGTGATGCCACCAGCCCCAGCAGATTCACAGCTGGCACTCAAACTCTCTAACAGGAGTTCTCAAACTTTCCAAACCTAGGGCCAAATCACTATCTTTCAGACTTTACAGGGGTCAGACTGTGGCCAGAGGGACTAACAAATTCCCCAGTATAAATGGTCACTGGCTTAAGAAAATGGTCCTTTAGACAGTTGGAGGAACAGTGCCCCATTATTGGTGTCAGTAGAAGGAATTGTGCCCCATCCTTGTCAGCAGGAGTGATTTTGCCCCATTGTAAGTGTCAGGAAAAGTGCTTGTGTCAGTGTAAGGGTTCGCACCCAATTGTTAGTATCACTGGGAAGAGCAAAGCGTCATTGTTGTTATCAGTGGGAAGATAATAGTGACCCATTCTTGGTGTTAGTGGAAATAAGAGTGCTCCGTCGTTGGTATCGCCGGGAGGAACAGTGCTCCGTTGTTGGTATCTCCGGGGGGGGGGGGGGAGAAGAGGGAACAGTGCCCCGTCTTGGTATCGCCGGGGGGGGGGGGGGGGGGGGGGGGGGACAGTGCTCCGTCGTTGGTATCTCCGGGGGGGGGGGGGGGGGGGGGGGGGTAACAGTGCCCCGTCGTTGGTATCGCCGGGAGGAACAGTGCCCCGTCGTTGGTATCGCCGGGAGGAACCGTGCCCCGTCGTTGGTGTCAATGGAGAGAATAGGGTCCATTGTTGACATCACTGTGAGGAGCAGTGCCTTGTTCTTTGTATTAGTGGGAAGAATAGTGCCCCAGCACTGGTGTTAGCTTAAGGAATATAGCCTCATAGTTTGTGTTATTAGGAGGGCCTGTGTCCCATTGTTGCTGTCAGTGGGAGGACCACTCCAATGGCCAGTAAAAGGCAATCAAAAGGCAGTACTTCTTGCAGACTGCTGCTTTAACCACTTCCCATCCGGCCCATGTATATAAACGGACGAGAGCATTGTAGGAGCAGGTGGCTGTTTATAAACATCCTCCATATTCCCCGCCTGTGAGGTCCTGATCATGTGATCACTGATTGGCCAATCAGTGTTTACATGAATAGTAGTAACCAAGATGTCACTTCCTGACATTGCTTACTACTAGTGAAATCTGTGAATGATCACAGAGGTCACATGGTACAAGGCTAGTTAAAAAAACAGCCTTGTACCATGTGACAAGCTGTGACAAATCACAGCTTGCACAGTATTTCTCAATGGCTGCAAGAATGCAGCCAGAGAGGAGGAGAAATGATTGCTTTTACAGCCTTTATGGGTGAAAAAGCAATCCCTGTAAAAAGATAAATCTTTATCACCCACCCACCCCCCACAAGTAGTAGAGTGTCACGATGGTGACACTGTACTGCTACAATGACAGTATGTTAAAAAAAAAAAAACTAAAAAAACAATATAAAATAAAATAAAAATGTCAATTTTGAAAAAAAATATTATTTTTGGTTATAAACTAATTTATTTTACTAAAAGAATAGCTAAATACATTTTGGCCAAGATTTATGAAGAAAGATTATTTGCAAAATTTTATAAGAAAACACTTTTTTTCAAAATGTTTGGATTTTTTCATTTACCGTATTTTTCGCTCCATAAGACGCACTTTTTCCCCCCAAAAAAGGGGGGAAAATGTCAGTGCGTCTTATGGAGCAAATATGGAGTGGCCGGTCTGATATTTCCGCCTCCGCCACCATGTCAGAATACCGGGCCGGCCGCTCAGCTCTTCTCTCCTGCTGGACCTTACCTGTTCCTCTGTCCAGCGCTGTAGTCTTCCCGCACCAGCTTCTGTGACAGCCGGGTGCCCACTGCGCATGCGCGAGAAGCGCTGCGCTTTGTGAATGTTCCGGCGACTTCTGGGACACATGACAGATCCCAGAAGGCGCCGGGCCATTCACAAAGCGCAGCGCTTCTCGCGCATGCGCAATGGGCACCCGGCTGTCACAGAAGCCGGCGCGGGAAGAAGCCAGCGTGCCCACACTAAAGAGAGGACAACTTCAGGTACCCGCTCCCCCTCCCTCCCCAAAGGTCCGCAGTCTCTTGGTCATCCCCTGTACTGTCTGCAGTCTCTGGTCATCCCCTGTACTGTCTGCAGTCTCTGGTCATCCCCTGTACTGGCTGCAGTCTCTGGTCATCCCCTGTACTGGCTGCAGTCTCTGGTCATCCCCCTGTACTGGCTGCAGTCTCTGGTCATCCCCTGTACTGGTCCGCAGTCTCTGGTCATCCCCTGTACTGGCTGCAGTCTCTGGTCATCCCCTGTACTGTGGCTGCAGTCTCTGGTCATCCCCTGTACTATGTCCGCAGTCCTGGCATTTTCCCTGTACTATGTTCACAGTCTCTGGTCATTCCTGTACTGTGTCCGCAGTCTCTGGTCATCCCCTGTACTATGTCCGCAGTCTCTGGTCATTCCCTGTACTAGTGTCCGCAGTCTCTGGTCATCCCTGTACTGTGTCTGCAGTCTCTGGTCATCCCCTGTACTGTGTCCGCAGTCTCTGGTCATCCCTGTACTGTGTCCGCAGTCTCTGGTCATCCCCTGTACTGTGTCCGCAGTCTCTGGTCATCTCCTGTACTGTGTCCGCAGTCTCTGGTCATCTCCTGTACTGTGTCCGCAGTCTCTGGTCATCTCCTGTACTGTGTCCGCAGTCTCTGGTCATCTCCTGTACTGTGTCCGCAGTCTCTGGTCATCTCCTGTACTGTGTCCGCAGTCTCTGGTCATCTCCTGTACTGTGTCCGCAGTCTCTGGTCATCTCCTGTACTGTGTCCGCAGTCTCTGGTCATCTCCTGTACTATGTCTGCAGTCCATTAATTCAGAATATTTTTTTTCTTGTTTTTCACCTCTAAAACTTAGGTGCGTCTTATGGTCAGGTGCGTCTTATGGAGTGCGAAGTACGGTATATAGAAAAAAAAAATAAAATCCCAGTGGTGACTAAATACCACCAAAATAAAGTTTTATCTATCTCAAAAAAATGCTAAAGAATTCATATGGGTACAGTGTTGCATGGCCGCGCAATTGTCATTCAAAGTGTTATAGCGCTGAAAGCTGAAAATTGGCCTGGAGGAAGGGGGTGAAAGTGTCCAGACTTGAAGTGGTAAAGTATTCCCTTTTGCTCCTCCTGTGGCAGCTACATAAGAGTTTATGTAGCAATGGGAGGGGGAAAGAGCTGGGCAAGTGCAGACAGTAGTGAGACACTTCCAGAAGAGAGGTCTATGGGATGCAAGGAAGTTAGACCATGTCTATAGGACAAAAACACAGGATGTCTTTGCATTTTTAATGTTGCAACTAGTATTAGTGTGCCCCACAAAACCTCTCACAAAATCTTTAGAAACGTTTGTTTGTTTAGATGGGGTAAATCATCATCTTTCAACCATTATATACTCAGTATTTTTTCTTTGCCTGAGATTTTGGGTTTTTTTTTTTTTACATAATCATAAGAAGCTTTTCTTGTAATTAGCTAATGACCTGGTTGCAGAGTTTGGAAATGACTTTTAGGAAGTGCATCTAAGCTCCAGCTTATGTGAGGACATGCTCCCTCAGTGCTCTGCCTTCTCAGACAGTCATATGCCTTTCATTTAATCAATGTCTGCTTTTTAACGGCTTTATAAAGTAAGGCATATCAATCACTGAGCAAGATGCCTGTTTTATAAGCAAAACCATTCTTCCTGGTTTTCTGTGAGGGAATTACAGAGGGAATGAATGTGCTCTAGTTTTCGCACCACTGTAAATATTGATGATTCTGTAACAATGATGGAGATACTTTTCAGGTATATTGATCCTGGATTTTCTAAAGCTGCCCGTAGATAGCTGGATGTACAGCAATCTGATAGTTTGAAGAGTTGTTTAGATCCACCTTAAGGCAGCCCACATAAACACTTAGATGGAGATGTACTAAAACTGGTGCACTGATAATCTGGTGCAGTTGTGCATGGGAGCCAATCAGTTTGTTCAACTAAGTTTTGACAAAAAACCTGGAAGCTGATTGGTTTCTATGCAGAACTGCACCACATTTTGCACACCGCGGTTTTAGTAAATCTCCCCCTAATTGTTAATACATACATGTGTTTGCTTCTAACGTTTTACAGAGGCAGGCTCTGGTCGGACATACTAGCAATGAAGGGATGGCTCAGGAGACTATTTCTCCCTTCTCTATGTTCAGTCTCTGTGCTCCCTGGAACAGAATTAGTCAGGCCATACACGGAGCAAATTTCTTGCAGGAAAGAAATTGCTTGATTCCCCCACAGGGGCAGACTGACAACTCATGGGGCCCCCGGGCAATAGGGGATCATGGGGCCCCTGTGTCCTTGCCCAACTCAAAAAATCCTATGAAAAAGGTACCAGGGGCCTCTCATGGGGCCCCCTACTGACCCCGGGCCCTCGGGCAGTGCCCGAGTTTCCAAATGGTCAGTCCGCCCCTGTTCCCCCATCAACACAGTTTGTGTTGACAGGGGAATCCCTCCCACTGTCCCCACTGGGAGAAGACAGTGATTATTGCTAGCAGCTATACCAGCTACTAGCGATAATTGTATGTAAAATCTGGCAGGCTGGTTGTACCCAAGCTGATCAATCTATCAACTTGCATATGTTCCGCCTGCCCATGTATGGTTCAAATCTCGGCCAGTTTAGCAGGAACCATCTGTGGCTGGCCTTAATATCCACTCTTTCAAAAAGGTAAGAAATCCAGGACACTCACTGCTTTTTATCTTCTTTATTGCTGCTTTAAAACCAGATTAAAAACCGTAAGCTGAACACTCATTTCATGTGAATAGCACAGAATTTTATAAATTGTAAATAGTGTGTGCTTATTTACATGAAATTGTCATTGGCCTGATGGTTTTCATACTTAATGTAAAACAGCAATAACACTATAAAAAGCCGCATGTACCCTGGATTCTTCAAGCTTGCCATACACTGTTAGAATTTTATTTATTTTCATCCTGCGGACTATGCAGTGCAGATGGACAAATCTTCTACAGTATGACTGTCAGAATACCTGAACTGCGGCTGCATCTGACTGTACACAGCCATTGTTCTGAAATATTTCCCTCTGACCACTTCAGTTTTTTTAATCAAAGGATGTTTTGCGGGAGATGGCCAACAGTGCAACCACATAGCAAATTTCAGCTGGTTCATAATGGATTATGGTCATCTGTACAGCACAAGGTCACATGAATGTAGATCATACCTGTAAATAGAAGGCTGCATGTACTTACCTTTCTAGCGGCCCAGAAAAGCAGATGTTTCCACCCTCTACAAGTATTCCGGGTGTGTGAATAATCTGCTCCTCCACCGTTACTGGCTCATACATCACAAACGGACATATAAACTGAAGGAAGGAACCACAGTGAGTGGTGAGGAAGACATTTGACCTGTCAAATACTTGCAGATGATAGTGAGCTGCAAAACAATGTTTTTTTGAAAAACGGGTGGGCCAGAAGGGTAAATATAGGCAGTCTTCTTTTTGCAAGTATATTTAAAGCAGCGGTCTCCAAACTTGGAGGGCCCTTTGCCTACCTTTATCCGGCTCTTGGGGAACTATCTTTCTGCACCGACACCAACAATGGGGCATAATTCCACCCACTGACGCCATTAAAGGGGAAGAATAACTTCCAATGACAAGTCACAATTCCTCCCACACACCAATGACGGGGCACAATTCCACCCAATAACACCTACACTGGGGCCCAATGACCGTAATGATGGGGCGCTATTCCTCCCAGTGATACCAAAGATGAGGCATTGTTTGTTCCATAGAAGTCAAGACCCTTTCTACTCCCTATAGTCTGACCCCCCCCTTAGGTCTGAAGGACAGTTAACTGGCCCTTTTGTTTAGAAAGTTTGGAGACCCCTGATTTAAAGTATAACTTTAACTGTAAGTTTTGCTTTTAGTTCTACTTTTAGATGGAGTCATAAGAAATTATTGTGTTTTTCCATGGTGTTTATTTTATGGGTATTTCATATATATTTTCTAGGTTCCAGATCAATATGGCACCATCAGAGCGGTGGCAGAAGGCAAAAGCCGACCAATTCTTAGTTGGAACATCTCGGAATTTTGTTTTGCGTGGCACTTTTAATGACGGTTTTCAGGTGGAAGTTCAGGTAAATACATTTCTGTGGTACTTCCCTGACCCAAATTAGCTATCAGTATCTATACTGTTAAGTCAGCACTATCACAGTGCCAACCACAAAGCTGCGGTGTTGCTGCATTCCATGAGCATACAGCTGTGTAGTTATGTGTTTTTGTTATTTTTTATACTTATAGGGTCATACAGATGAGCTCTGGGGATTGGCAACCCACCCCTTCAAGGATCTGCTCTTATCATGTGCTCAGGACAAGCAGGTCTGTTTGTGGAACTCTGTAGACCACACGCTAGAATGGACCAGACTGCTAGAAGTAAGTACTGTAAATGTTGCTGAAGCATTTTGTATTGTTGAAGAAAGTTTCCTAGAAATATTAAAAAATCCTCTATTTCCTTATTAAGGGAAGTCAACTGTTGTACCTGGAAAATGGAAGTTCAGATTGGAAATCCTTTGGGGGCTGTTTATAAAATTAAACCGTGAAGTGGCGAGCGAGTGACCAGATGTGATTATTGCACCACATCCCTTAAAATTGCAAATAATCAATAGAGAAGATGGGACTTTCAGGGTGCATAGACATAAATACCACACATTAAAAGTTATTTAATTTTTATTTCGTATTTTGGTAAAACACAAAGGAAAAAATACAAAAAAAAAAAAAAAAAACAATTTCAATTCTAAGAATACCAACTGAGATTCAAACTTGGTTAGGTAAATGTAGTATACTCCCTACATGTTTCGCCCTCATGGGCTTCTTCAGGGGAGATTTTTTTAGGAAATTTCTACCGCCAAGGCAGACCTGGATGTGAAAGCTCACAGAGCTAGAAGAAAATGACCTAAAAAATCTTAATTGGCCTACACGTCCAAAACAGTTGTAGAGGATATAATGGGCATCAGATATCATCTGTTAAATGCTTTAGGATATATAGGTATAACCTAACAAAGATCTATTTGACCTATACGTTCACAACCATAAGAAAGGAAACAATGGACATCAATCATCCATCTGTTAAATATTGCAATTCAAGTAGCAAGGAAAATTTAAGGAAAAAGGATTTTAATGGAGGATCAATTTTCAATTCCACCACCAGATATCAGCAAAGGACAAAAGTCCAGACGATGTTATCTCCATTCAGATCCAATACAACCTCCAAGATACTCGGTGTGCACTGGTGATTAGCAGGATGTTTGATGTCCATTGTTTCCTTTCTTATGTGTGGAGGGGAATATTTTATGTAGAGAGAGGGGTCCCTGTACCATCAAGCAAGGATCTTGAAGAAGTTCTCTTGTGAATAACAGGAGATGGACGACTTATGGGTGAAGTGAAATGACTTGGACCAGTCTGCGTCCGATATGTCTCTGCTGAGTTCTCAGGCCCACGCCCTGGTGTAGGGTCTATCGCCAACCTTTTAGACATAAACCAAAACTAGTAAGTTTGCAGCCCAATGATGTTGTACCCACTTGTCTCAGTGTGAAAGCACCAGGTGGCAGTCAGCAGTGTATAGGGGAAGCAGACACCACCACCCCTGTGTGGGGAGGAGGAGGTGAAAAAGGCTGTCAGCTGAACTGAAAATTTCATCCAGAGGTGCGAGTTGTTGTCTGCCCTCTGCACATATGATAACATGAGTGTGTGTAAAGTGGATAAAAGTTATTTATTTCCACATTTAGATATTTTTCTTATGTCTGACCACACTTGTGTGTTTACTAGTTGTGAATAACTCACATGTTTTTCTGTCATGTACAGGAGCCTGGACACTGTGCTGATTTCCATCCTAGCGGAATAGTAGTAGCAATTGGAACACATTCTGGGAGGTAATATTAATATAATATAATAATAGTCATATGCTTTGTAGTGATGAGAGTTTGATGATTGCATCATGAAAAATCAATAAATTGCACCTATATTGAGAGATAACACAGGTCTGTCATTGCTGGTCTCTTTCTGCAATACGAGTTATCTAGCTTCAAACCTTCACAAACCTGGAGCACGGAGCAGATAGGAGTAGCTTTGTTATGTATTGGTCCCTGGCCATGGTGCAGCAGTCTATGACAGTGACAAAAACACACAAAGGCCTGTGACCCTGGTAGTAGTCTGTCTCAGCCAGTGAATCAGCGTGCACATTTGTTTCCACAATCCAAGCATGTGCACAACATAGGGAATGTATTGTACGTATGTTGTGTTTTTGTGCAGTTTTTTGTTTTTTTAAGGTCCGAGTGTTGAAGCACAGCATTACAACATAATAGGGGCTCTACCTCCTCCACTCTATCCACAAAAAACAAATACAGTTTTAGCTATATATACACTGTAAAATACTGAATCCCAAAATCCTAGTTAGGAGTGTCTATGGCTATTTTCACATGACGCTGCATGTAGATGAGCTTTACCCCAAGTGGCCGTTTGTCTTTGCTGCAATTGTTCTCCCCTCAGCTGCCAGAGAGAGCACACTTAGCGGATATGTTTAGTATACACTTCTATGATTGCTATCTATACACTTGTGTATTTGCTTGGCCAGTATTTATGCTGTGTTGGCCTAAACAAGGGAGAAATATCTGAGTAGTGCCTGCATATTGATCCGCACTGCTTCCTTCAACATCACAGCTCATTGGCAATGCAATGCTTAGGCCGACCATTGCTTCCAAAATTCAAGGTAATGTTAAGTCCAGTCCAGAAAATGTTTGGGCTGAGCTGTTGCCTTGGTATTCATTCTCAGACCTGGTGATTTGGTGGGAGTTAAAAATAGTCACCAATCCTCCCCCCCCTTCAAAATATGTCGGGCATAGCCTGTGGTGGTCAAATTAAAATTCTGTGAAATTAAGTGTTAATGTCAATGGTATAGCTGAGAGAAGTATGGCCAAACCTTTTTTGGCTATACTTCTCTTTTGGTTCATAGGAGTACATTTACTGATGTACTCTTTATGACCCAGAGTAAGCTGATGGTGGGCTGCTACCCACTATTCGAGCCATGCCACGTTCATGGAGGCGCCTCACAGTGTTGCTGGGAGCCATCCAGCTGCCCAATTGACAACTGGTTCCATCTTTCAACATGCAGCTGAGAACCTGACCCAGCCACGCTTGTCCCCTCCACAGTCCTTCACTCCAGTGAGCACTGGAGTAGCAGCCAGCAGACCAAAAACTGACAGTACTGTAATCTATCAGGTTTCAGTCTTAGGCTTTGTTCACAGGGGCATACTATTGTGAACATTTGTGCGAGGGCCCTGTTTGTATGCATGGAGATGCACAGGTGTTCTGCAGAGAGTGTGCGTTCTGGGCCGTGCACCCACACGGGTGGCAAGTTGGCAGCTGTGTCTGTGCAGCTGCTGCATCCCAATTGACATGAATGGGACTGCCTGCACCGGGATGCGTGAAACACCCATGGATCCCCATGCAGGCAAACACAGCTGTTGCACGGCGTACGTTCTGCGAATGAGACCTTAGAAGCCGGCATGGACAGCTGCAGTGTCACACGGATGCTGCAGCATTGAGGTGCATATGTAAGCTTTTTTTTTTTTGGGGTTTTTTTTTTAATAGTAATCCCATATTTCTTTTTACTTTAATTATGAATTGAATGCTTTTCCTATTAAACACAATGGAGTTGATTTACTAAAGGCAAATAGACTGCACTTTACAAAGGCATTACTCCAGAGCTTAGTAAATGAAGGGAAGCTCTGCTACTTACATCATCCAATCATGTGCAAGCAAAGATGCATTTTTTTCCCTTGCATTTGATTGGGTATTCTTTGCAAACTAAAGCTTCACCTCATTTACGAAGCGATGGAGCAGTACCCTTTCAGAATGCAATCGCAAAGTGCACAGTCTATTTGCCTTTAATAAATCAACCCCAGTATATGGAGCTATACTTGGTAGGACTCACTAGTGGAGGGACTTGCCTGTGATGATTATTCTGACTACCAGTGACAGAGTGAGAAAGTACCGTATTTTTCGCTCCATAAGACGCACCTGACCATAAGACGCACCTAGATTTTAGAGGTGAAAAACAAGAAAAAAAAAATATTCTGAACCAATGGACTGCAGACACAGTACAGGGGATGACCAGAGACTCCGGACACAGTACAGGAGATGACCAGAGACTGCAGACACAGTATAGGAGATGACCAGAGACTGTGGACACAGTACAGGAGATGACCAGAGACTGCGGACACAGTACAGGAGATGACCAGAGACTGCGGACACAGTGCAGGGGATGACCAGAGACTGCGGACACAGTGCAGGGGATGACCAGAGACTGCGGACACAGTGCAGGGGATGACCAGAGACTGCGGACACAGTGCAGGAGATGACCAGAGACTGCGGACAGTGCAGGGGATGACCAGAGACTGCGGACACAGTGCAGGGGATGACCAGAGACTGCGGACACAGTGCAGGGGATGACCAGAGACTGCGGACACAGTGCAGGAGATGACCAGAGACTGCGGACACAGTGCAGGAGATGACCAGAGACTGCGGACAGTGCAGGGGATGACCAGAGACTGCGGACACAGTGCAGGGGATGACCAGAGGCTGCGGACACAGTGCAGGGGATGACCAGAGGCTGCGGACAGTGCAGGGGATGACCAGAGACTGCGGACAGTGCAGGGAATGACCAGAGACTGCGGACAGTGCAGGGAATGACCAAGACTGCGGACAGTGCAGGGAATGACCAGAGACTGCGGACAGTGCAGGGAATGACCAGAGGCTGCGGACAGTGCAGGGGATGACCAGAGACTGCGGACAGTGCAGGGAATGACCAGAGACTGCGGACAGTGCAGGGAATGACCAGAGACTGCGGACAGTGCAGGGAATGACCAAAGACTGCAGACAGTGAAGGGAATGACCAGAGACTGCTGACCTTTGGGGAGGGAGGGGGAGCGGGTACCTGAATTTGATAGGTACCTGCTCCCACTTCCGCGGAGTTGTCCTTCCCTCTTCTTTCCGGGCCGGCTTCTGTGACAGCCGGGTGCCCACTGCGCATGTGCGAGAAGCGCTGCTCTTTGTGAATGGCCCGGCGCCTTCTGGGACCTTTCATGTGTCCCAGAAGACACCGGATCATTCACAAAGCGCAGCACATGCGCAGTGGGCACCCGGCTGTCACAGAAGCCAGCGCGGGAAGACTGTGCAGCGCTGGAGCGAGGAACAGGTAAGGCCCTGCAGGAGACAACAGCTGAGCGGCCGGCCCGGTATTCTGACATGGTGGCCGCAAAAATACCGGACCGGCCGCTTTATATTCGCTCCATAAGACGCACTGACATTTTCCCCCCTTTTTTGGGGGAAAAAAAGTGCGTCTTATGGAGCGAAAAATACGGTAATTTTCCCCCAGTCGGGGAACATTTTCAGATGTCCTACAATTGCTTTTGCATTGCCATTTTCTTAGGTTAAAAAAAACTCTTCAAGTTCAACCTATTCTAATAATGTTGTTTTGACTAACCTTCCCTGTCATAAATAAGTCCATACATTAATATGTTCAGCATGTAAATCCTCTGAAGGTTTTGTCTAACAATGTAAATCCTCTGCGTGGATGAGTTTGCCCTTCCCCACATTTACAATGGCTCTCCCTTGTGTTGTAGATGGTTTGTGTTAGATGCAGAGACACGGGATCTGGTTTCCATACACACAGATGGCAATGAGCAGCTCTCCGTGATGCGATACTCCGTCGGTGAGTAACTTTCCTGACAAGCAATTTGATAATAAATATTTGCCAGTTGTAACATTGTGTCCAGGTCACTAACTGCGTCTCGGCTTACTTCCCAGAACACATCCGTGGGAAATCTGGGTTCAATATTTTACAGAGTTGTCTGTCTGGGGTTAGAAATGCAGCTTGAAATGTGCTGGATTAGAACATTGCGTGTGTGATGTGAGTGTGTTCCCTGCCATCGTGAGCAACTTGCAAAGTGTATGTAAAGCCAAAACATTTTGAAAAATAGATTAAGGGTTTACATACACTTTAATGCTTTGCTTGCCAAAGAATTTGTAATTGTGTTCAGACACTGCACAGCCAGATTAGTGACACAAATAGTTCCTGATTAAAGCTGATCTCCAGATTTTAGTGAAGTTTAAATAGTTCGTTTGGACCAAGCGGTTCCAAGCAAACTATTACCTTAACTAACAGATGCAGCTGCTGGGAGCACTGTATAAACTGTATGTAGTCTCAGCTACATACAGTATATAGCATTGTGTTCCGGCAGCGGTACAGGAACTTCCCGTCCCACTGCCAGAAGAAAATTGATTCAGGCTGACCACTGCTCAGCCATTCACAGGAAGCTTTGGAGTTGATTTACTAAAGGCAAATTGACTGTGCACTTTGCAAAGTGCAATTGTTTGCAAGTACAGTTGCTCCAGAACTTAGTAAATGAGCAAAAGCTCTGCTGACTTCCATCATCCAATCATGAGCAAGCAAAAATACTGTGGTGTTTTTTTTTGTTTTGTTTTTTTTTTCCTTGCACATGATTGGGTATTCTTGGCAAAGTACAATTTTACCTCATTTATTAAACTCTGGAGCAACCACACATGCAGATGGCAACTGCACTTTGCAAAGTGCACAGTCTAATTGCCTTCAGTAAATCAACCTATTTGTATTCTATGAAAGAATACAAGAGCTTCCCCTGGTTGTCTGACTCCGAGACCGTGACATCATCTGCCCACCTCTCCACCCCTGCCAATGAGAGGAAGCTTTGTATTCATTCATAGAATACCAACCTCCCTGTGAATGGCTCGGCAGCACTCAGCCTGACATGAATTTGTTCCAGGAGGGAGGTGGGAAGTACTCATCCCACTGCAGGAACACAGCACTGTATTGTATACTGCATGTAGTGCTCCCAGTTGCTGCATCTGTTAGTGAACATAGTAGTTCCTTTGGACCAGCTTGGTGCTATGCATCTTGGAGACCTGCATGCACCAGCGATCTGCTGATCGCTAGCGCAATGCTTTCCAGGTTTCTAAAACAAAAAATAGTAAATGTACATTTTTTTTTTACCTGCAAAAGTGTATTTATTATTTTTTGTTAAAAGGTGAACTTATCCTTTAAGCAGTTCATCTTGCTGGTTCTTTTTTATGGTAATTTTTGCTATCCTAATCCAGCCTTATGATTGGACTGTAAATCAGCAACACCATTTCTGTCCAGTGAGCTGGGAGCTGATTCAGGAAGCAGTTATGATAAACTAGGAAATAGTAGAGTACTGATCCTGACTAGCAGCAGAATGTGTACAACAAGAACAGCCTGCCAGAATCGGAAAATCCTTTTGGAAGGTAAAACCATAAACATGGGTCTTCAAACTCTGCAAACGTTTGCCTGGCGTCATACTTTAACAGCCATGCTGTTCATGGTTGATATAGCAGGTAGCTAAGCTTTGCCAATTTTCCCTTCCTTTTCATGAAAGATTTGGCCATAATTTAAAACCAGCTGCCCCAGGTAACAACTGTTATTCCTGTCGAGGACACATAGTAACACTAAACACAGAAAGCCTTTAGCTTACCTTTAGAAAACATTCCTACATTTTCTTCACAGTAACAATTCTCACCAGCGCATTTTTCTGTTGTAATTTTGTTTTAAATCCTGCTCATTGCTATTTAAGTTCACAAACTCGTGGTGGAGGTGATGTAAGTAATTGATTTACTTGCGTTCCAACCTCTCACAAAAAGTAAGATTGGATAATGCAGAAAAAGCCTGTGAAACTGCATCCCAGCGTACCTAAATCATGACAAGTTGCCCTTAAGGTGGTTGTAAAGGCTGAAGGTTTTTTCTCCAGTCAATTTCCAGGACGGCACACCTGAGATGAAACACAATCAAAAAAGTTTAAATTCCCCGCCCTTTCCACCCCTCCCTCCAGTCAGTTTTTGATTGTTTCCCTGCAGCGAAACGTTTATTTTCCTCTGAACTAAGGCCTGGAAGCTCCCCCCTGGGGGGCGAGCAGCTGCGCTGGAGAGGGCAGGCTGTAGCCGGGGTCACTTACCCATTCCAGGGGTTCCCAAAGCAGTGGAACTGCCCAGGCATCGGGGAGGAGTGTCTGACATTCCCGGGATGAGCATCCTTCCGGGGCAGTGGTGAGGTCTGTCCAGAAGAGGACCGAGCCGTGAGGTGGCTCTTGCAGGTATGGGGATTGCTGGCCGGCATTTCATGAGCAGTGCGCCCCTGTTGGGTGACGGGGCCGCCATGGAGTTTGCTGCTAGTCTGACTGAAGACCAGTGGGTGGAGAGCAGGGCCGTGGAACTGGAAGTAGGAGCAGGGCTGCGTTCCAAGCCTCGCTCCATAAGTTGGACTTCTAGTAAGGTTGAGACATTCGCCCTACAGATGGTGCCGGTCGGTGTTCTCTCTTCCTTAGGATCACAGCCAGTGAGGGGGGGGGGGCGGCTCAGCCACATCTGTGTCTTATAAATGCATAGTGTGGGGCTCAGGAGCAAGCACGCACCAGTGCCCCCATAGCAAGTGGCTTGATATTGGGGGCATTGGTCAAGGGGGGGGAGCCAGGAATGCCAGTGGGAGACCCAAGAAGAGGATCGGGGCTGTTCTGTGCAAAACCATTGCACAGAGTAGGTAATTATGACATGTTTGTTAATTGTTTTAATATCAGTTTAAAAGAAGGTGATACCACATTCTGATGTTCAGGACCAGTCAGAAAATAAGGATACCAGCATCTAACCAAATGCAGAAGATGAATCCGAGCTTATGAGACAGCCAGGTGCACAAAATTAATTCTAATTAGGCAGCCAGGAAAAGACGATATAGCAGAACTAACAAGGCACTCGGGTACAGAAGGTAAATTAGATCTAACAAGGCAGCCAAGTGGAGAACGTGAATTAGAATTAACATGACATTCAGGTGGAGAAAATTAATTGGACTCCTTTCACACGAGTGGTTCAATCAGTTCCACCTGACCATTTTTCAGGCAGACCCAGTTGGACCTTTCATTCTCCATGTGTGTCTGTTTACAGTTGTTTACCTCCAATTGGATCGGGTGTAAACGAACAGCCGGCCTGTATACATCTGACTGCCCATAGAGCAGAGCCGGCTGTGTCCACGTCCACTCTGCATAAGTGAATCGGACACGGACCTGTTATCCGCCGGCTCCGCTGAGCAGGGAATCAGCAGACAGCTCACTTGCTGAGAAAAACTGATCTGTCCATGTGAAAGGGGCCTTTTGAGGTAACATGGCAGCCAGGTGTAGGGGATGAATTAGGGCTTGGTGAAAAATTGAATTACACTTTGAGGCAGCCAGGTGCAAAAGATTAAAAGTAACAGTCAGCCAGGTTTAAGGGGTGAAATAGAAACATTCATGAGGGTTGGGCCATGTAAACAAAGTGTTTTAATATGCAAATTGTGTGACTGAAGTTTGCCTTTCATTTTACTCTCTACAACACATGGTATACCAGAGTGGACAGCAATGGTGGAGGCAGGAAAAGGTCTCAAGGATGTTTCACCATATTTCTTGTGATTTTTCCACGTGTCATTTTCATTGATTTATATAGAGATTTTGTCTTCTAACAGATGGGACGTTGCTTGCGGTGGGTTCCCATGACAATTTCATTTACCTCTACAATGTCTCAGAGAATGGAAGAAAATATAGCAGATACGGAAAATGCACTGTGAGTAGAATGTACAAGAGTCTATATTCAACTCTGTTCTCTTTACAGAAGAATTGAGGAACATTGAGTAAATAAAAAGCTCTATAAAGGTGGGAACACACAGGCATTTCTTACTATAGCGATAAATTGCCATGATCGCCCCATAGTAAAATTTGTGGTTGCTACAAATAGGGAACAATGAAGTGTAGCCCCAACTAATCACTAATGGTAAATAGCAGTTCCAGGTTTTTGAGATTAATACTATGTGCAACTGCTTATGTAGCAATTGCTAGTAATTAATCATGGATTGATCATGGGTGATGAACACTATAACAGAATGTGCCAATGTGCGCTTGCTCCAAGTGCTGGTACACACCAGGAATCACATAGGAATGCATTCCCATGTGATTCAATACAATGTTATTTTCAGCTCATTCATTTGAATGGGGTGAAATCGCACTGGGTCGCTCCCAAAGTAGTGCATGTTCTACTTTTACCACTTTCCCTCCAGAGGATTCTTCCTGACCAGGCCATTTTTTGGGATATGGCGCTGTGTTACTTTAACTGACAATTGCGTGGTCATGCAACGCTGTACATAAATGTTATCTGTGTCATTTATTTTTTTCAACAAATAGAACTTTACTTCAGTAGTATTTGAACACCTCTGCGTTTTTTAATTTTTTGCACTATAAATAAAAAAATACCAACCATTTTGAAAAACAAAAAACTATTTTTGACTCTTTGTTAAACATATCCAATAAAATTAAAAACAAAAATCAAATTTATTCATAAATTTAGGCCAAAATGTATTCTGCTATGTCTTTGCTAAAAAAAAAAAAAATAAAAAAAAAAATCACAATATGTGTAAATTAATTTGTTTATGTGAAAGTTATAGCATCTACAAATGGCGGTATATATACTGGAGTTTTTATTTATTTTTTTTATATACTAGTAATGGTGGCGATCAGCGACTTTTTGCTGGACTGTGGCAGGCATTCTGAGTGGGAACTGACTAACTGCCATTGACATCCCCAGTGACACGAATACAATGATCAGTGCTAATAAAAAGCACTAACACTGTACTAATGACACTGGGCACAAAGGGGTTAACATCCGGGGCGATCAAAGGGTTAACTGTGTGCTGTGTGTTGTTTTGCTGTGTTTTAATAGGGAGGTATGCTGTTTTGTGTCTCTCTACTGTGCAGAGAGATGCAAAGCAGCATGTCTATGCTAACAGGAGAGAGAGACCTGTGTCGTTTATACACAGGGCTCTCCCGTCAGCTTTATCCACAGGTCTCCCCCCTGTCAACTTTATCCAACGATCACCGAGTCCTGGCCGGGAATCGGTGATTGACATCCCTAGCCGCCAATAGCAGTGCGGGTAGGGCAGAGCGTGCGCCCCCTCCCCCTAAGTTCAAATCATGTATATATACGTGATTTTGCGCAGCCCTGCAGCCCTGTAGCAGTACTTCTGCTATAGGGCGGGCAGAAAGTGGTTAAAAATGTACTGCAACCAGGTTGCATGATATTGCGCTACAGTGTGATCTGGTCTAGGCAAAGGTACTGCGTTTATGATCTTCATTTGGGGTGTCATTAGGAATCTATTGACATCTAAAACAGATTGTAAACTCAGTACGTTTTGAACGCAGTGCAGGAAGCACACACAGAACACGGGTTTCCTGCACCACGTTGTGGTGTGAATCCAGACTAAAGGTATTCATACATAGCAAAATCATTAGTGGAAGGAGATGGATCAATATGCTAATCTACTCATGTAACGGCAGCGTCTGGCTTTGAAAACCAACAGATATCCATTCAGGTAATAAATAGCCATGAAGATTGCCTTGGTACTTGTACACAGCCGATTTTGTCCATGTTACAATCTTTTCTGGTTACTAAATGCAGTAGATAACAAATAGTGCCTACTGTCAGGGAGCACTTTTGATTTTATTGCCTTATACTCCCTGATGGGCTCATTTTAAGTCAGTCTGGCAGCCTTTTCTGAAGGAAACAAAGAACTCAGCCAGCATAACTGGTATGTGACTTCCTGGGTGACAGCTGAATTGACAAATATTGCAGGGTGTCTTCTGTGCCTTCTTGAACATGCTTCATTGTATGTTTGTTCCCCTTTTCCATGGAGCTACCTGGTCAGAGCTTCATGTACCTCAGGAATTCATAGGGGCCATAGAAGAATGTTGTACGTACCAGTGCAGCAGTACATTTTGTCTGTGTTCCCTACCCTATCTCACTCACCCTTCGTTCTGTTGTCTCCTGCATTGGCGTCCCTCCTGGGAAGGATACCAACACCAGTGGATGCTGCTCTTAATGTAGTCCTGTTGTCAGAACAGCCCACATCAAATAGTTGTTCTAAAACAGCGTCTCAATTGGAGACCAGTTGTATGCTTGTGCCATTTTACATGTGCTAACCTAACAGTTTTTTTGCATGCAGTTAAAGAGAACCTTCTCCAACATCATGCATATAGTTTAAAGGAGATGCATGGGGGTTATTGATAAAAAAAAAAAAAAAAAAATCAGCCTACTCTTAAAGAGTTGGCTTTCAGAAAAGTAGAAAAAAATTTGGCCTGTTTATACAGTTATACTATGACAAAGTTAATAAGGCTCATACCCCCTTGGCAAGAAAACTGAAAGCTAAAGTTCAGCTTCCCCCTCACCCCATTGACAAAGATGTTCACCTGCTTTCTCACCCATCAAATGTGGTTAGGACTTTTAAGGAATTTTATTCTTCTTTATTTAATTACCCTGTTATTCCTCATCCCCCCACCCAAGATCCCCTGGATCGTATGCAGCAATATATTATGCAAAGCAATATTCCTAAGCTTTCATCCTGAGACCTTCAGTCAGTTAATGCCCCTTTTACAGGGCAAGAAATTGAATTGACCGTTTAAATCATTACCTACTAATAAGGCTTCAGGCCCAGATGGCCTACCTCATGGATATTATAAAACTTTTCTCCCAATATTTCCCTATATGCTGTCCCTTCAGTGTTTTTTTTACATAATGCCCATATACCCCTGGATATGCAGCGGTCCTTTTTTACCCTGGTTCCAAAACCTGGTACGGACCTTGCCCTGTGCATTAATTATAGGCCCATAACTTTGTTAAACTGTGATTTGAAAATTTTTATTGAACTTCTTTCGATACTCTTAAATTCTATCCATTCCTTCACTGATCCACAAAAATCAGGTGGGTTTTGTACCTTTTTGCCAGCCAGGTGACAATATCAGACGAGTAATCGATTTAATTGATGTAGCAAATAGGGAAGGGACGGAGTCTCTTGTACTGAGATTATACACTGAATAATACAAGATGTTTAAACGCCTTTTCTTTTTGATAAAACTTCAAAATATGTATTTTAAGGGTCCATTTCTGAGCGCAATCAAACATCTATACTGCAACCCTACCACAGATCAAAACGCCCTATGCCATTTTGTTCCCAATTGATATTTCAAATGGTACAAGACAAGGTTGTCCATCGTCACCGCTGTGATATGCGCTTTGTGTGGAACCGTTAGCCGCCCACATCCGTAAGGATCCAAATATCCATGGTATTTTTGTTAGAAGTAGGGTTTTTAAAATTTAGCTTTTTGCAGAAGACATTATTTCGACCCTTACACAAACCAGGATCACGTTACTGAATTAGCATTTAGTATAATACACAAAATAGCAAGAGCACTGTCTCAATGTATGTTATATGACATGGAAAACATGCTTGTATAATGAACACATAACAATAAATAGTGAAATAAAGTCCCAAATGTGAAATCAAGTGAACAAAAATCCCTTTCACATCCAAAAGGTAATAAGTCCCTGTGTGCCCTCTCGCTCACCAACTTTAATGGACTCTTATGGTGAAATAAGAGTCTTTCACGCTTTTGGTGGGGCATTGGAAGTCATGCTGGAGCTTGTAGTCCTGATTAAATGTTGCTTGTCATTCCCAGTGATTCAGATGTAGAGCCGATAGATATATACATGTAAATAATGGAGAGAGGAATCCAAAATAGTGTAGTTCCATTTCTTAGTAAAAGCAGACACACTGATATTGCACTCACATGTTTCCAGATACAATAGGCATGAATCTCCAAGTGTACAATAGTAGGTCGCTAGTATTCCACAAAGCTCCTAAGCTTAGTATCACCACGTCCCTGCCTGATGCATTTCGCCCCCTCCCACTGGGCATCCTCAGAGGCATAGATCCGTGGTGATAGGTGAATACATTTATATGATAAATCTCCACCTCCTACACCCAGTCCATGAGTAGTTCGACCGAATGTATAGCGTCAACCATCTTGGTACCCCCAACAAGAAACCGAAAGTGTCCGAGGACCGCAAGTCAGTCCTCCGTCATTTTGGTACTCTCTCTGATATATAATACAGTAGACTACTGCATTTTGCAGACTGGGGAATTTGCAAAATAAACCTCTAAGTCCCGCAAATAACAGTGTATAACATACTAAGATGTATTGCCCATACACATAATGCAAGGACATCCGCTAAGCGCTATAACATAATAATGAAAATAATGGTGGAGCCCCCTGCTGTTAAAAAGAGGTCATACCATCGCATTCTAAGCTCAATATGCACCAAATACCTGAAACCGTGTGTGTAATAAATAACTAAACATAACATATAAAAACTGAATGTGGATCATAATATAAGATATAAAATATATTAAGATAAATTAAACTAAAAATTAGTAATAAAGCAATTGACATCCATCTCGATATTGAGGCCCCTGGGAACTAAAGTGTTCAAATGGTAAATCGACTGGGATTCATTTCTCGAGATGGCTTGCCTCATGTTGGTCCCACGCCAATGTTTCTCAACCCTATCTATGCCACAAAATTTTAAGTGGCGTAGGATCCTTATTGTGGTGTGTTCTAAAATGATTGGAAGAGCTATAATGGAGAAAGCCCTCTTTGATATTGCTAACATGTTCTCTGAGTCTGACCCTGAGTTCCCTAGTGGTCCTACCCACATATTGGAGTCCACAGCTGCATTCA